GGAGCTACATGAGAAACTAGAGTTCAATTAGGAAGCAAATTAACACGCAGCTTGAGTTAAAATAACTTACGGTGGGGCAGCTGGGTGGCTCAGTTAGCTAAGGGTCTGACTCTTGATTTTGGCTCAGGTCATGATCTCACGGTTCCGGAGGTGGCACCCCACATCGGGCTCTGCGCTGACAGCACGGATCCCGCTTGGGATTCTCTCTCTCCTCTCTCTCTGTCCTTCCCCTGCTTTCGCACACGCACTCGTTCTCTCTCATTCTCAAAATAAATAAACATTAAAACAAAAATAAAATACCTAATGGGATCTAAGCAAATAGAATCCATTTGACCTTAGTGAAAGGAGCAATCCCCTCTAAACAAATCAGAATCAAGACATGGGACCTATAGAGAAGGAAACATAATCTTAGCCCATCTTTTGGCCCAAAAGAGTGGTGATCATGTAAAAGTTTGTTGACTAGGGTTGACCTCTGTACAAAACATGGGCACTTGATCATAGCGGTAGTATACATAGAAAGTGAATGTCAACACGTTAAAAAAAAAAAATTAAAAATAAAAGGGGGCGCCTGGGTGGCTCAGTCGGTTAAGCATCCGACTTCAGCTCAGGTCACGATCTTGAGGTCCATGAGTTCAAGCCCCGCGTTGGGCTGTGTGCTGACAGCTCAGAGCCTGGAGCCTGCTTCGGATTCTGTGTCTCCCTCTCTCTCTGCCCCTCCCCTGCTCATACTCTGTCTCTCTCTCTCTCAAAAATAAATAAACACTAAAATTTTCTTAAAAGGACTAACAAGAAATCAGGACATGTTTAGTATGAAAATCAAACAGGGGAATCATAAAAAAAGAAGGAGGAGGAGGAGGAGAAGAAGAAAGAGGAGGAGGAGGAGGAGGAGAAGAAGGAGAAGAAAAGAGTGCGCAAGAGGCAGAGAGAGGAACGATGTACACCAACAATGATGATGAGGAAACCAACATGGGCAAACAGGATGGAAACAACGGCAACAATCCAATGACTCAATGGGAACCCGCAGCTTCCTCTTTGGTGGAGTAAGTAAAGAGCACTAATCTGGGGGCACGTGGGTGGCTCAGTCGGTTAAGGGTCTGACTTCGGCTCAGGTCATGATCTCGCGGTTTGTGAGTTTGAGCCCCACGTCAGGCTCTGTGCCTGGAGCCTGCTTCAGATTCTGTGTCTGCTCTCCCCCTGCTCATGCTCTGTCTCTCTCTGTCTCTCAGTAATAAATAAACATTAAAAAATTTTTTTTTTTAAAGCAGGAAATAAATAATTAAAAAAAAAAAAAAAAGAGCACTAATCTGGGGCAGCGTGCTTCTTGGAGGTCAGACAGGCCAGAGTAAACCAGAAGTGGTTATGAGTGAATACGCCTAGACCAACAGTAAAAACCACTTTTCTTCCCATGAGTGCTGTGGTCTACCACCGGAAGATGAAATCCACTGGAAACAGACAGTAGACACTTACACTTATATTTCTTTCAGAGTGTAGCACACACTTAATTTCCATTTTCAGGTTGTAACTATTCCCCCAAACCACTGTATATTTTTATATTCCATTCTAATCCTTCCTAGATTGGTCTTTTCCTACTTTGTATTGTCTGTATAACCTGTATATTAGGTTAAGGTTTTTCATTTGCCAATGATAGAAAGAATCCTACTAAAAACTCCCAGAGAAAAATAAGTGTATAAGATGGCTGTTCATGCATTTCACAGAATCCAAGAAGGAGATGAACAAGCACGTTTCCCTAAGTGTGAACCAAGAAAGCTTGGAGGGATCACAGACACGAGCGTATTTGGATCTTAAACCTAGGGCTCTGCGGTCAACAAGGTTTGATTCCTAAAACCAGGCCGTGTGTCCCACAGTTCATACTCCGAATCCTTGAGACAGACTTGGATTGTACAGCCTAGACCAAGTAGAGACAAAGGAAGAGAGAGTTGGGTATTCACAAACGTGATTACCAAGCTCTCGGTGGACAAATGTGAAAAGAAAAGAGACAGCAGAGAGCTAAGGAGGATAGCCCTGAACATCCCAACTCACCTCCGTGTTTCCCATTGCCCAAAGATCGTCTTAGAAAATATGCACAGCTTACGGTTCGCTTATTTACTTGACTGTAGTGTATACTAGTCAGAAAATTTTGAGATGCCAGAAAGTGGACTGGAAAAGGTTAATCTTTCCACGACAGAGTCAGGTATCAAAATCCCAAAAGGTCAGCTAGGTGGGCCGAAAGTAGCAAGAAGCAACCGAGCATGAAGGAATATTAAAATTTGCATTTGTGGGGCACCTGGGTGGCTCAGTCAGTTAAGTGTCAGACTCTTGATTTGGGCCCGGGTCGTGATCTCACAGTTCATGGGTTCAAGCCTCACGTCAGGCTCCATGTTGACAATGCAGAGCATGCTTGAGATTCTCTCTCTCCCTCTCTCCGTCCCTCCACCCCCAAAATAAATAAATCAACATTTATTTATTTTGTTTTTAACATTTATTTATTTTTGAGACAGAGAGAGACAGAGCATGAACGGGGGAGGGTCAGAGAGAGAGGGAGACACAGAATCTGAAACAGGCTTCAGGCTCTGAGCCATCAGCACAGAGCCTGACGCAGGACTTAAACTCACAGACCGCGAGATCATGACCTGAGCCGAAGTCGGACGCTTAACCGACTGAGCCACCCAGGCGCCCCAATAAATAAACATTTAAAATACTAATAGTAACAATAATAAAATTTTTATTTGTGTCCAGAGATGTAATTGTCACAGTAAACAGTGCTTTGGGAAAACATCCTCAACACATCCAAGGCTCTGCTACCATACCTATTCGCAATCAGGTTGACTTCATTTCCACTTCACAAGTGCCATGGAGATAGAGATTATAAAATATATAAACTCATAGAGCAGAAAACTACATAAAAATGATAAGGCAGAAAATTATTTTTATTATTCAATAAACACATATGTCATATTTACGTATTCTGAATCTATTCTGTCCTAGAAAAGACAAGCCTAATTAGATAAGTGAAAAGGCTCAGCTTAAGCCCCTGCACATCCGTATTATTAGCCAGTTGGACAAAGGCAGCATAAAATCTTTTTTTTTTTCTTTTAAAGAGAGAGAGAGAATGAGTGTTCAATCAGTAGAGGGAATGGCAGAGAGAATCTTAAGCAGGCTCGATGCCCAGTGTGGAAGCCGACATGGGACTCAACCCCACGACCCTGGGATCATGACCAGGGTTGAAATCAAGAGTTAGACACTCAACCAACTGAGCCACCCAGGTGCCCCAACATAAAATCTTTTAGGGAGTAATTAAACATTGTATCATACATCTCTTTAATGTGTGGCAATTTTATTTTATTGGATTTTACTGGAGAGTGGTCTAATTTTAAATTTATAATTCAATTTAAAAAAAAAAACCCTGTACATTATAACTATAAACTCCAAATTATATGAAAACAAAGAAAAATCTTTTTTTTTTTTTAAATTTTTTTTTCAACGTTTTTATTTATTTTTGGGACAGAGAGAGACAGAGCATGAACGGGGGAGGGGCAGAGAGAAGGAGAGACACAGAATCGGAAACAGGCTCCAGGCTCCGAGCCATCAGCCCAGAGCCTGACGCGGGGCTCGAACTCACGAACCGCGAGATCGTGACCTGGCTGAAGTCGGACGCTCAACCGACTGCGCCACCCAGGCGCCCCGAAAAATCTTAATAAAACACATTGTTTCCTACATGTACCCACCCTGGCATTATGTTATAGATACCTCAAAATCTTTCGATTGGATCACTTTGCACAAAAGACAATTAAAATGTTTAAATAAGTAAGGATTCTTGGTTTAATCAAGCTACACCTTTCTCCTTATAAATTCTGTTTTGTATTTGATAACAAAGAATAAAATCAGTGATTTGCATCCCGAATATTCCCCCTTTTAAACCTCATAGGTACAAACTAAATTACAGAAACACCTCAATTTTAGAAGGCAAAAAAACCCCAAAATTGCATTTAAAAACAAAATTGCTTCAGGGTGCCGGGTGGCTCAGTCAGTTAAGCATCTGATTCTTGACTTGGGATCAGGTCATGATCTCACAGCTGGTGAGATCAAGCCCCCTGCTTGAAATTCTCTCTCTCCCTCTCTCTCTGCCCCTGCTTATGCCCTCTCTTGCTCTCAAAATAACTAAAGAAACTCTTAAAAATAAAATAAATTTTTAAAATTTTAAAAATTGCTTCATTCATGCACAGAAAGCCAATAAAACGGGGATTATTTTAGAGAATACTAAAAGTTTCTCTGAAAAATTCAAAAGCACAAGTTAGGGAAAATATTTATTTCACTTACTTAGTAAAAAGTTTTAGGTTTTGGCTATAAGACAGGCACTGTATAGAGATTTATACTGTATAGTCACTGCCACCAAGGGTCACCTAATCCAACATAAAAACTATTCCGCTTGGAATCACTGTATTTCATAATCTCTATCCAGAAGCAGAGTCATTGTTAAAAACTATTAGGGGCGCCTGGGTGGCTCAGTCGGTTGAGTGTCCGACTTCGGCTCAGGTCATGATCTCGAGGTCCATGAGTTCAAGCCCTGCGATGGGCTCTGTGCTAACAGCTCAGAGCCTGGAGCCTGCTTCAGATTCTGTATCTTGCTCTCTCGCTGACCCTCCCCCATTCATTCTCTGTCTCAAAAATAAATAAACATTAAAAAAAATTTTTTTTAAAACCTATTATACATTTTATTCTAAAATTTGTATATGTAAACCTTCTCTCCTCCTGAGTGGAGTGCCATGTGCACTGATGATTTTAAATAAGTTTTAGTATTTTAAAGGGAGAAATTAAAAAAATCTAAAAAATAATAAAATAAATAAAATAAAAATAAAGAGAAATAATACTCATCTACTTATTTATCCATTCCAGAAATACAGATTGAGTTCTTATTTTTGCAAGGCAGAGCATTGCCTCAACTTTATAGAATTAAGTCCTGATACCTGTACTTGAAAACTTCATAGGCAATTCGTATTTACAATGTCCAAAAATGAGCTCTTGGTGTCCTGTCTGAAATAGTCTTATGCTGCAGGTCTCTTCATATCCAGAAAATTAAAAAAAAAAAAAAATTAACGGTAAATTGAAATCTTGTCATTCCTCAAGTCAAAAGCCTTCAATGGCTTTCTATCTCACCAAGAATAACGTTTAAAACTCCTCATCATGGCCTACAAAGTATCACATGATTTGGCCCCTCTACCTCAGGGACCTTCTCCCTGCAAACACATCCACTCACAGTGGCCTTTTATTTGAAGCAATCCTCAAGATTTAGAGTCTTTGTTTTCAACATGACTTAGCCTGGACCCTCCCCTCGGATGTCTGCCTGGCTCAGTTTTTTTCTTCCTTGAAGGTGCCGCTCAAATGTCACTTTAACAGAGAGGCTTCCTAAGTAAGCTCCTATGTAAATCAGTATCCCTCCATTACCCTCTATTTCTTCATCCCGTTTTTATGTTTCTCCAAAGCACTTATCATATGATACAGGATGTATTTATTTGTTTAATTACTGTTTCATCCCATTCAAATATAATATGTACGAGAACAGGAACTCTGATTTTTGGCTACTTTATACCCCCCAGGAGAAAACGTTCACATAACATGCAACATAGGTTTTCTGAATGAGCATTAGATGAGGCACGGGCTAGACATAGTTCGTATCAACAACGCTTGTTTGTTTTCTGAATTACACATTAAATTCTGTATTGCCATACAAGCTTGAGCGTCCAAGCGCTGCAGCCTACGTGAGTATTTGCCGAACAGATCACAAAATACTATTGTGGCAGTTACTTAGAAGTACCACCAAAAATTAATTTATCCAAAGGATACCGGTGTGCTGTTTCGAAGGGGCACATGCACCCCAATGTTTATAACAGCACTACGGACAATTGCCAAAGTATGGAAAAAGCCCAAATGTCCATTGACAGGTGAGTGGATAAGGAAGATGTGGTGTATATATATATATATATATATATACACACACACACACACAATGGAGTATTACTCAGTAATCAAAAAGAATGAAGTCTTGCCATTTGCAACTACGTGGATGGAACTGGAGGGTATTATGCTAAGTGAAATTAGTCAGAGAAACACAAATATCATATCACTTCACTCATATGTGGAATTTAAGATACAAAACAGATGAACATAAGGGAAAGGAAGCAAAAAGAAAAACAGGGAGGTGGGCAAGACATAAGAGACTCCTAAATATAGAGAACAAAGTGAGGGTTGCTGGAGGGGTTGTGGGGGGAGGGATGGGCTAAATGAACAAGGGCATTAAGGAAGACACTTGTTGGGATGAACACTGGGTGTTATACGTAGGGGATGAATCACTGGATTCTATTCCTGAAATCATTATTGCACTACATGCTAAAGAACGCGGATGCAAGTTAAAAAATAAAATAAATAAATGAATACAAAGAAGTACCACCAAAAATTAGTTGGAAAAACCCTGCATATCCTACAATTACCCCACTCTGAAGATTCACGATGGAGGTGGTCCCATAAAGAAGAGTCCTGAGATTCTTACATACATTCCTCTTAAGGTTGAATAAGACACCATTCTGAAATTAATTTGAATGGTGAACACTTTTTTCTTGGTACACCTGGTGATAACTGCATCCTTTAGAGCTGCCTTCAACAAACCACCAAAGTTTTGGTCATAAGGCCCAGGTTAGGCCATCAGTTTCCCAAGCAGTGAGAACTCACTGATACCCTGGTGAGCTCAGCTCTGAACTCCACTGATGGTTGCAGTGTTTCAAGAACCAACCTAAAAAAAAAAGAAAAAAAAAAAAAAAAAAAAAAGAACCAACCTAGCCCGTTCTGAATTGGTCAGGAAATTCACAAAGAAGAGTCAAGCAATCATCTTAGTAATTAAGTTAAAATTGCACGGGGACCATGACAACTAGATCATTTATATTGCAGACAGGCAGGCAAAAAGCTATCTTTAAAACGTGTTCACTTCCTCCCACCCACATGTGATCTGATTTCTTTGAAGTGAAATGTACCACTGTTCATTATATTCCAGATTGACCATGTGGGGAACTGAAGCCGTATTCTACTTTTGGCCATCTTCTGTATTCTCAGAAAACAAATGATATTAACAAGAGACTCTCCACAACTCTGAACGTCACTTGTAGTAAGAAAACGCATGACTCAGAGAAACCACACTGCCTTAAAAGAATCGCGTAATCATCTAATCATCTTGATGAGTTCTCATCATCTTGATTTATTTAAAACCCTCAGCCCCCGTCCACATAACAGATTGAAGTCTAAGCCTCTCCTTTCTTTTACTGTAATAATTATGAAAACAATTTTCTAGATGTGATTGTTCAGCATCCCCAGGGAGTGTTTCCAGGACTTTTATATGCTAACTCCATAGTTCACACCATTTCTCTTCTATTTCCTCCTATAAAAGAGGATAGCAGATTAGCACCTGTCTAAGATAGCAGTCATCATAAAATTATGGAGACTGGTGTTCGAGCTAAGGCCTGAAGATGGACAGGAATTTGCTGGACCTATTGGGCAAGACATCAACACTTTGGCATTATTTTTTTTTCTTAATAGTAAAATGTACTTACGACGATACCTATTTCATACAGAAGTGACTCAAATGAAATAATGCATGTGAAGATCTTAGCATTTTCGTAACACTCATTAAGGGTTCAGTGTCACACTCACTCGGGTATCTAATATCTATTATATTGACTCTGGAGGCAAGAAAGATCCCATTTTCACAGCTTTTCACAGAAATAAGACCCAAAAAACTTAACACCAAGCACCACCAGCGTCTTTGCCACAGTTTACTGTATCAACTCTATCAACTCTCTTCAACTTGACACAGTCTGTGAATTTCAGCACAGAGATGGGAGATAGGAACCGAAACGATTCATTCCCCAGGGAATAAAGGAGACTTCACTAGTATGGGTCACCTGGAGACCACGCCTCCAATTTGGTTTTTACTGGCCCCAAGTTGAATGGCTGCATATGGCAACAAGAACAGAGGACTATATAGAATGCTAGGAACATCCCAATTTAATTAAATTACTTAATAACCTTAATTTTACAGTATTAAGTAAATTTTGGGGGTGCTTGGGTGGCTCAGTCAGTTGGGCGTCTGACTCTTGATTTCAGCTCAGGTCGTGATCTCACCGTTGGTGGTTCTGAGCCCCACATCGGGTTCTGCACTGATAGTGCGGAGCCTGCTTGGGATTCTCTCTCTTCCTCTCCCTCTCTGCCCCTCCCCTGCTTGTGCTCTCTCTAAATAATTAATTAATTAACAAACTAATTTTTTTGAGGAAAGAGACTATGGAACTAAAAATAAAGTATTTTTAAATGCTCCAGAAAAAAAAAGTATTTGGTCCTACATTTGCCGATAGCCTCTTTGCACAGAGTCCCAGAAAATCAGTCACACGGATGAATAACAAATCGCTTTCCGAAAACAATTTAAGCACAACTATTGTTGGATAAGTTTAGTGTAAGCGACAAAGGTGTGAAGAAAGGATTAATATGGTTATGCTAATAAAATACATTTGCATCACAATTTTAAAGTGCAGGGTCAGTCCTGAATTTGAGTTAAAAGTATGTATCCAGGACTCCATGGACAGTGGTGCAAAGGGACCCAGGGCAGGTGCTCCGGCCTGAGGGTTCATCTCCATGAATAACTTAAATGACCCCCCAGACTGGAATATCTGGCCTAATTTCAGGGCTGATGGAGGCAATGGAAGCAGATGAAATCACGCCCTGTTGGTTCCAATGCTGTGATTGGCTGCTTTTCATTGGATTTGGTCCAGGTAATCCCAAAAAGAGAAAAAGAGAGAGAAGGATACCGTCAGTGAATGACCGCTTTCCATCGGGATCTTGAAGCCAAGTACAACGCCGTGATCTCAGAAAGCAGGCATGCAGTCGCTCACTGGTTTGTGGAACTTGAAGAGGAGCAGAAGGAGAACGACAAGTTAATAAGAAGCCTGCATCCTCGGGGCGGGGGGGTGGGGGGGGGGGGGGGGGCAAGCTGATAGAAGAAGAGAAGCTTCTGAAAGAGGAACTGGTTCAGATTGTGCAAGAAAAGAGATAGTTGCAGCCCTTGAGCAGCGCTACCTGAGCTTCCTGGAAAGGGAAGGCAACTGGCAAAAGAGGGCCAGGTTTGTGCCGAAAGAGTCTGGCAGAGAGAGAGAGAGAGAGAGAGAGAGAGAGAGAGAGAGAGAACAAATGGGGGAGGGGCAGAGAGAGGGGGAGACACAGACTCCAGGCTCTGAGCTGTCAGCACAGAGCCTGATGTGGGGCTCGAACCCACGAACTAAGATCATGGACCTGAGTCAAAGTCACACATTTAACCACTAAGCCACTCAGGCATCCCAAAGAGTCTGACGCTCCTAGGGAAAAACAGGGCGTGTACCGCAGCCTGCTCGCGACTGGTGGCAGGTGGCTGGAAATACATGACTTCCTGGTCGGAGCCTCCGCTGACCCCATTAGTGCCGACCTGCTGGCCCACCCGACATACTGAAGCACCACACATATTATGGCGATGCCTAGAACACCAACAAACCAGGATGAATCTCAATTTTGGCTGTATCTCAAATAGTGGCAACTGGTTGTTGAACTTGAACAAGGGTAAGAGAGTCGAGAAAGCCAGGCGAGAGAAGTAGGGCAAGAGTGAAGTCGAAGTCCTCGGCGCTGCGTTGCGGGTGGGTATCCACATTTGCTCATTTCCTCCTGCCATGCTCTGAGACCGACACAGGGTTTCTTCCTTGACCTTCTTCAGCGATTAAGGATTCAGTTTCTTAGGATAATTGTTTTTAAGCTGTAATATTTTAGTAAGCCAAAGAGTATGACCTCATATCTTAGCTGTAGGGTAAGATTGTTTTTAAGAAAGTCAAATGTAGCATTGATCCTCACTGACAGTTTTCTGTTTTTATCACTCCCCGAATAAATAAATAAATAATAAATAAATAAAGTATTGATCCTCACTGAAAGTTTTCTGTTTGTTTTTATTACTCCCTAAACAGATTCTCTTTTCTCTTCAAATTACTTTTCTCTCTCCTAGAATTACTTTTAGAAGCCTTCAGGTAATGGAGAGAACTGCCTAAGGGTGACAACATAAGATAGTAATATTATCGAGGTTTCATGGCGTCAGTGAAGGTGTCTCTCAACAAAGGGAAAGAAAGTGTTTCTTGTATCCGGTAGGGATTTGGCTTGTGTCTGTATTTAGTAAGCACATATTATTTATTAGCAATGACATGTAATAAAAAAGACTTACCATTTAAATTTTTTTTAAGTAGGGGCGCCTGGGTGGCGCAGTCGGTTAAGCGTCCGACTTCAGCCAGGTCACGATCTCGCGGTCCGTGAGTTCGAGCCCCGCGTCAGGCTCTGGGCTGATGGCTCAGAGCCTGGAGCCTGTTTCCAATTCTGTGTCTCCCTCTCTCTCTGCCCCTCCCCCGTTCATGCTCTGTCTCTCTGTGTCCCAAAAATAAATAAACGTTGGAAAAAAATTTTTTTTAATTTTTTTAAGTATATATCCATAACATATTAATTTTTAAAAATCAAAAAATTTTAAATCAGCTTCTTCCAGCTGAGCAATGACCATCCTTAACATGGTGACTGTAGTCTTGAAATGCTATTTTCCACTAAGAGAAAGCCAAGTTTCTCATAAAAACAGATGACTTCATGTCTGGGGGAAGGAATCTGGAATGAACCTCAAATCACTCCAAAATGCAAGGAAGTTATCAAAGACTTCCAAGATTGTGTCTGAAATACTCAGAAGTCAACTTGAAGAGTCTTTCTCTGGTCAAAAGTAATATTATTTGATCTTTAATAAATCAAAAAAATAATAAAAAAGAAGAATTCCAATGTATTGCCCCCCATCCAATGTTTAAATCCATGAGTTTATAATGGCATTATAAGAATTAATTGAGGCGCGCCTGGGTGGCTCAGTCAGTTGAGCGACCGACTTCGGCTCAGGTCATGATCTCACAGTTTGCGAGTTTGAGCCCCGCGTCGGGCTCTGTGCTGACAGCTCAGAGCCTGGAGCCTGCTTCGGATTCTGTGTCTCCCTCTCTCTCTCTCTCTGCCCCTCCCCCTCTCATGCTCTGTCTCTCTCTGTCTCAGAAATAAATAAACATTTAAACAAATTTAAAAAAAAAAAAGAATTAATTGAACGACCTTACCAGAGTTACAGAGAACAAATGCACTAATGTTTGATAATCGGTAAGTAAATTGAAAGAATCAAGTATATAACCTGTGTTTCTTAGATGAAATGTTACTGGTACAATAGTTGAGAGGAAGAATCTCTTATTAAAAGTATCCCAGCAGGTAAATGACAAGGAAATTATACAATCACAATATCAGCATTTTGGGACCCAGTGAATTAATGAATCTAGTCATCAAATACCCCACCAGTGGCCACCAGCATCACAAAAAGAGAAAAACTGTAATGGAGTTATGTAGCTTCTGGTTAATGAAGTTCTTACTAATGAAAAGAAAAATAAGTCACAAGATGAATCATTTTGAACAGAATTTTGGCTATTGAAAGGATTCAGAGCATAACAAAAGCTAGAGATAAAATTACATGTTAAGACAAATTACCATAACTTAAGAATACCAAAGGTAGAAGGAGTATCTTAAAAGAGTCCAGAGAGGGGTGCCTGGGTGGCTCAGTCGGTTGAGCGTCCGACTTTAACTCAGGTCATGATCTCACGGTCTGTGGGTTCAAGCCCCGTGTCAGGCTCTGTGCTAACAGCTCAGAGCCTGGAGCCTGTTTCCAATCCTGTGTCTCCCTCTCTCTCTGCCCCTCCCCCAGTCTCACTTTGTCTCACTCTGTCTCTCGAAAATAAATAAATATTAAAAAAAAATTTTTTTTAAAAAGAGTCCAGAGAAAAAGAACAAATCTCCTACAAAGAAAGAAAAATCTGATTTACCTTATCTTTCTCAATAGTAACACTGGGTGAAAGAAGACAGTGGAATAATATTTTTTTTTACCTATTAAAAAAGTACTTGGAATCTAACATTTATATCCAGCCAAACGGTCTTTTACATACAAGAACATTATAAGAATATTCTACCCCAAGAAATCTATCACTGAAAATACAAAGAGGTCCTTAAACATATGAACAAATACAGCCAAGTGCTGCCGGAGATAGGAGAGAGGAGAATCAAACATTTTAATAAAATTTATTGTTCTATAAAATGACCCAAGGCCTTTAGTGCAGTTCATTGTTGTCTTGAAAAACCTAAGACCAAAGAAATTCTTTTTTTTTTTTTAATTTTTTTTTCAACGTTTTATTTATTTTTGGGACAGAGAGAGACAGAGCATGAGCAGGGGAGGGGCAGAGAGAGAGGGAGACACAGAATCAGAAGCAGGCTCCAGGCTCTGAGCTGTCAGCCCACAGCCCAACGCGGGGCTTGAACTCACAGACTGTGAGATCATGACCTAAGCCGAAGCCGGACGCTCAACCGACTGAGCCACCCAGGCGCCCCCCAAAGAAATTCTTAAAAGAATTTCTGTTAACAGTCTAAAGTTAATTCCAGACCATAGCAACATGGAGCACAGAGAGGTAAAAAGCAAAAACAAAAAAACAAAAAAAACAAAAAAGCAACTAAGAACGTGCTAACCAAAGGGCACCTGAGTGGACAGTCAGTTAAGCGTCAGGATCTCCGGGTTTGGTTGGAACCCTGTTTCCTACCGCTCTGTGCTGACAGGTAAGGAGCCTGGAGCCTGCTTTGGATTCTGTGCGTCCCTCTTTCTCTGCTCCTGCCCCGCTCACACTCCATCTCTCTTTTATGTTAAAAATAAACATAAAAAAAAAAAAAAGATAAAAAAGAATGTGCTAACATTGCTTGTCTCTTTTAGGAGAAGTAGAGATAGACACTGAGAAGCGTGTTAGTTATTACTTATGCTTGTCAAATATTCTAGGTTTACTGTCTTCTGATCATACGGGACGATTTTCCTTTTTAGTCACTGAAGAGAAGTAGAGCTTTGTGGCTCATTTGGCCAGTAATACGTGACATGTGTCACTTTTGGGTCAAGGTATGTACTACTGATGAGAGACCCTCCAGAGCGCTCTTTCCTCCAGGGTCATTGCCATTTTTCCACGTTGTGGCTGCTCCATGTGTCAGGTAGAGCCCAGCCAACTAGAAATTGATATGCAGCATGAGAAAGAAACATGTTTGGTTTTGGTATAACTGTTTTTCACAGTATAATACAGTCTATCCCAATACAATGTCTAAGAAATTAGTAAACACAGGGGCGCCTGGGTGGGTCAGTCGGTTAAGCTTCGGACTTCAACTCAGGTCACGATCTCACGGTCTGTGAGTTCGAGCCCCGCCTCGGGCTCTGGGCTGATGGCTCGGAGCCTGGAGCCTGCTTCCGATTCTGTGTCTCCCTCTCTCTCTGCCCCTCCCCTGTTCATGCTCTGTCTCTCTCTGTCTCAAAAATAAATAAATAAATAAATAAATAAATAAATACAAATTAGTAAACACAATAATCACAAGTATGAATCTGAGATTAAGAGTACCCACCACCATAAGACAAAAATACAAGTAACTTTTTAAAATAAGAAAACAGTTTGATTAATCTAATGAAAAGCAGGAAGCAATTGTTAAAAAGAAATAAAATGGAAACAGAGTACGCTGAAAATATGAAATAAGATGACAGTGATGTGTATAAAATAATCACAATAAATAGGAATGGGTTAAACTTACTATTTAAAAAAAAGAGACCAAAAAACAAAACAAAACAAAACAAAACAAAAAAGAAACCTAGTTGGATCAAAGGTTGTTGTCTACAAGAGACATACAGGAAACAAGCAGAAAAATCAAAAAATTTGAAACAATGAAATGACATCAAAAACGAAACAAAGGGGGCGCCTGGGTGGCGCAGTCGGTTAAGCGTCCGACTTCAGCCAGGTCACGATCTCACG